AACCAACATATTCCTACAAGCATTTTTCGTAGTTTATCGATTTTTAAGCGTTACCAATGTTTTTACGTTTAAGTTGCATAGACTCTGTAGGAAAAATTGTTTATTTTTTTAGGATCGCATATTGCAACTATAATGTCATAGGAACAAACCGCGATTGTATAGAGAATCAAATAAATTATAATTACTCTTATTAAAAGTAATGCGAAACAACTTTGAAATAAGTTGAGGATACAGATATACTATATAGATATAATATACGATATAATCTCATAGATAGGAGATATCCAGTAAATATAGTTTTTATACGAGATATTTTAATTTATATAGTTGTATAAGTAGCACGCTTAGGAGCGCATATTATTTCTTAGAAGTAAGATTTAGCTATTGAGACGGAATCAATGCTTCATCATCCCTTTCTAATGTTACACCGAGCATATTCTCTATAACTTTGTAAAGAAAAACGATATTTTATCAACGCTTCGTCAAAGAAATCAATCTTTTTTCAAAGATTTATTTTAAAAAAAATTTACATACTATGACGTCAATTGATCTAAAAGTCAATCGATTTCGAAGCATATCGTGTATTCAGGACATATTACACATATTTTAGAAATTCAGTTGTTTCCTAGGAGAAATTTTATTCGCTAAAATTTTATAATGTTAAATTTTTGCATTATTAATGGATGATTGTATGTCTAAGGCCCCGTTGCACCAACACTTCTTGATTTTAAGCGAGACTTATAACTCTATCTATCTCGTTTTAAAGCCGAAAGGGAGACAGAGACAGAGACAGTTTAAGTTTCGCTTAAAATCGAAATCACGTTGGTGCAATCAGGCCTAAGCACGTTAATATTATAAGTTTTTATTATTTGAATATGGTAGAATATAATAAAATACGGACGTCAAAAGTCATTTTAGCAACATTGACTGTTAAAACATTTATTATTATTTTATTGTATATATACAAATTGCACACGTTATTATATTTTGGCGATGTTAAGGAAAAAATACGAAGGATATTACATAAATGGACGTGAATGTATAAGTCCATAGTATAGTCTCACAATGTTGAGCAATATAAATTATGACCGTAATGATTTATATTGATTTAAAAACTCTTATTTTAAGAGTTAATTATGTTTATGTGTCAATCAAGGATCATTTTGCACCTATAGGGATTGACTTGTAATATTGATAAAGCGTTTAATGTACGGAACATACCAGCTCTCACTGCTTATTCTTTTAAATTACTTAAATGTATAATAATTAATACTTTCACTTACGTCTTCGCCTGATTTAATGTAGTACATTCAAGCGTATTATAGACGATATGATTTTCCTGAAATTAAAGCTACACATTGTACTAAATAACGTTCATTCACTTTTGTAGTTATAGTGACATTTCGTTTCAGTGTTGAGACATCAGCAATTAGAAGCTGTACTTTTATGTTCGTCATGTATACAAAGTTTATGAAAATATCGTGATTTTCTTTGTAGGGCTCAAGCTAACTTCGATATTTTAATTAGAAACGACATTGCAAGGATGAAACGTGAAAAAAAAAACTTTTGACTAAGAATAAATGAAATCGTTGGAAGTATTTAATTTTCATAAACATATTTGTTAGTCCATTTTATGAATCTTCGCTTCTTCCGAGTGCGCTTCCGGTAATTTACATGTACAAAAAACAGTTTTCCATCATTGGGGGAAATTGAATGCGAGGGTATATCATAATCGAATCCACGAAGGGATTAAATATTGAGTGATATTATTGCATCTGTACGATCTTATAAATAAGTACTCGTGTATTTACCATTGTAAGCATTATATATTTGTACTCTTCTTCGATATTTGGTATACTTACCAAAAGGTAACGTGACAGAATTAAATGACATCATGTAATATTTTTGTCTTAAGAATTTTTTTTTATATATTCTAGTAGATTGATTAAAATAAACCATACTATATAATTATACTACATAATTAATTAATTACACTTATCAATGTTTATATATAAGTATCAGAGGGACTGTGCATATATTTAAAATACTTTCATTTATAGAGGAAAGCCCCCTATTATGAGATAGGCGCTTAACATGAGATAGTGGCGTTTCTGCTAAACTAATAAATGCTATTTGTTGATTCTATCATGAAATTATTGCTCTTGGATTGAAAACTATTTAGTGGAAAATTCATTGTTAGATCATGCCTACAGTAATTGTAAAATAAAATTTTAGAGTTTGAATGTTTTCAAGTTTCATTGAGATAAGCCTTTAATCTTTGTTTATTATTTAATAAGTAATTATTTGGCAATAAATTCTTCATGTAGTAATAGAGTAAGATCGTACTGATAGAAAAATACGAAATATGTTGAATTGTTTAATTAAAGAAGTTAGATTTGATGATCGTAAATCTGTAAGACGTGATACTCGTAACATGAGATACCCAGGATATTTCTAATATGAAATAATCTATACTTCTGTGCCCAAGTGAAAATCGATGTTAAAGTATAAATGTTATTGTATCATAATAAAAGGAATAACCGGAATGAACATTGAGGGTCTGTTTCTACAATACTTCATTCCAATTACTACTGAAGACAAATCCTGAATACAATGCATCACATGCTCAATTTACGCGCATAAGCTGTACTTGTTGATATGTTAGAAACATCAAATAAAGTTTTTTTAATTCTAATACTGATGTACTTTGTGCTTTATTATCGATTTCTCGGGGTATCTCATACTAGGAGCACAATTTTTCGACTTTGCGATTTGTTCACCTTTTACATTTCTTTAATTAAAAAATAAAATAAAATTTGAATTAAATTTTACATAACACTATCTTAAAGCTTATTAAATTCTCTTCAAAATGACCTATTATTTTTTTTAATTCTACCAATAAACATTTAGTAATTACACAAAATGAACTCGGTATCTCATAATAGGGGCCTCTCCTCTACTACTCTGCTTAAAATTTTCTATAAAAAAATATAGGAACATAGAATTTGTATAGGTATTTATAGTTTTTAATAGTTTCTATAGTAGCGCACGAGAGCGACTATAGAAGCTCTACAGTTATCAATAAGATTCTATGAGTATAATAATAGAAAACTATTGCGGATTGGGATTTACCGATTCAAAACGCTCATTAAAAACTATAGAAGTTTCTTAATAGTTTTCTATAGAAAATTTTAAGCAGGGTATAATTTTCTCGCAATAAAAGTAGATTTTATATTTTATATTTCAGCGGTGCACATGAAAGTATTACGTATTTTGTATTTAAAATTGAAAGGTTGAAAGCTTTATGTATTTCATAATTTAAATAATAACATTAATCGTCAATCTTTAGTATTTAAAATACAAAATACTTTTAATCTTTTATTATTATAATACTGAAATACAAAATATAAAATACTTTTATATACTTCCATAAAATATAAAATGCAGAATATTTCATGTACACCCCGCTGAAATACAAAACACATGATACAATTGTCTTACAAATACTGTTTTCAAATAAAAGTATTTTAAATACACGCCCAGCCCTGATAAATATGAGAAAATTGAAATTAATCTTTCGTGGACGTTTTTGGCTTCGTTTGTTTGCGACTTTCAATTCTGTATTTCTCGCATTGTCAAAAAGAAGCGCGAGTGTACAAACTCTTCGAGGTGGATGTGCGCGAGGTGGATTTCCTGAGGACATTCGGCATTGATCTCTGGACGCGCAAGCGCCGACCGGTGTATCTTCACCTACTTCTATTGCTCCCGGTCGTCGTAGAATCTGCGAAAATTCGGAACGTAACACGGTCGTCTATTTTCGTTTATCTGAACAAGCAACCGCCTCCCGTGACGCTGCTGATTTCAGTCAAGGTAAGGAAACCATTCACAAAGTGACCGACTACACGTTTCGCGACGGGACAGATACATTCGAAGAAGCTCGCCATTTAATGCAATAGCTCGCGAAGGACGATCCCTCGATAAGAGTGTTATTTTTGGTAACAAAATGCAAAATTGGTTCTACGGTTTCAATTAAGATTATCGTGATGCTGAAGACACGAAGTATAAGTCATTATACGTGGGCGTAATCATATATATTAGTAGCTATGTTGATGTGTTGTAATTTGTACCGATATAGTTATAGTTGATAAAATTAAATATTGCCATTAATGCACCAGTTTTAAGACATACTTATGCTGTGCTTATGTTCGCATAAGATTTTATATTTTTATTTTCTGAAACTATCAAATAAACAAAAGCAGAAATCTTAACAAGTTATAATACATTATAAGTTAATACACACACACATGACGAAAACTAATATTTTTTAATTAGTAAAATTAACGATCTGGATCTATACCTATAATTTTATATAATTCTATTTTTTTTAATTTATAGTTATAATTTATTTAATCATCTGATTGCTCTACATTAACTCTTATAATAATCTAACATTGAATTTTTAGCAGGTGAACGAGAAAACGTTCGATGTCGGCTCTTCTAGAAGTATGCGGGAATGATACCGGGTCGCCATCGATATCGAAGGCCGACGATAATCTATCCAACAGCGATGGACCTTTGATTAAAGGCATTATCCGCCAAAATAGTTGCGGCAGTATGCATGCGAGGTGAATAAGAAAATCGTACATTAGATTATTATAACAATAATTCCTATCCAACGAAAAAGTTCCAGAAATATTTAGTAAAATAAGTCAATCGTTAATATTGTTTTTTTAGCCGAAATTCAAAAACAATTAAATATAATTAATCAACAATTGATACAATCCAAGCTAAATTAAATTAAAATTTCAGATGATTAAATTTTTACTTGGGCAATGTTAATAGGACGATCGCTTCGTACGGCATGTCATCAACGGACGAAAAATCTACTAAAAGGCGTTATTGTCTCTGGATGTTGACTTTGGTCCTGGCGGTAATCGGTCTCTGCAATCTTTTTCTAAACATCACTGTTATCGCTGTTTTGCGCATAAGTCAAGGGATGGAAGCTATAGAAATTATCCCGGACGAAAATCTTGTCAAATTCTATGGAAGAACAGATTTGGACAAGGTATACATACATATTTCACATTTAAAAACTGATCACATATATGTATGGGGTATATTAAGAGTATAAAAAAAAGTCTAAAACAAAAATCTAATAGTGAGTTAAGTGAATAGAATCTTTGTACTACTCAATACATCGATATTTCATCGCAGATATTGATATATGTTATGTTTCACATTTTCTAAAGATATCTCTGCAATCGGGCATTTGCCAGAGTTACGGCGACGAACCGATGGAAATATCCGGTGATGAAGCTGGAGTGCATGTTGACGTAAAGAATCGCGGACATACCCACGAAGCATATCCACACTCAAAGTTAGGCGTCCTACCAAATGGTACTACTATGTCGCAAGTAGAATCATTCGAAGTGAAGGATCCACGTACCGGTACAATCTACTTTACTACAGACTTCCCTAACTTTGGTCTACCAAACGGCGTTGAAACGATTGACGTGAGAATCGCAGAGACTCATCGGATCACGTCGCCAGTTAACGAGAGTCTGGCATTCAAGTCTGACAACGAAGTCTCGTTGCACGGTGCGGAGGGCGTACACATGGAGAGTAAGGACATCGTGTGGAGCGCCGATCTCGACATCTTCTTGAAGAGTGTGAACGGCAGCGTCGTGCTGGACGCCAAGGACGGCGTTTTCATTGATATGGAGGATATTCCGGTGTCACCTATGTTCCTGCAGAGCCCGACCACAAGCCACGAGCAGTACAAAGTCTGTGTGTGTATGCCGCAGGGCAAGCTTTTCAGGATACCAGTCCGACCAGGTGCAAGTTCTCGTACAGTTAATTGCGCGCGAGTTGTCAGAACCCCGGAGAATGATCCCTGCCTACACTAGGTTCCAAGTAAAGAGTAATGTTTTCTATCGTACACTTCATTACACGCTTAAATGACGTGCATATCACTGCCAAATTGCATACAAAATATAAGCATATTTCGAATAATGTGTGCATAATATTATGAGATTTAATGTGCATACTTCATCAGTAGACAATATAGTGGAAGATATATTCGAAATATTTATAAAAAAAAACAATCTGATCTCTCAAATATTTATACGATATCACTGCAACACAGTAACCAAATGTTTAATGAGATCAGATACATTTTTCAATAAAAAAAACTTTATATAAAATCTTTAGAGGGTAAATCTCTTCATGGCATTTATACAATATCGTTGAGTGTAGATGCTTAAAGTGCTATAGAAAAATTCTTAAAAATAGAATAAGTTACTTAATCGGGTAGAATTCACATTGATCTGTACTTTATTTTAAGCCAAATCTCACATTTTGAGGATATTATCATCGTCAAATTGCCTATATTTGATATAAATGCAATACCATGTAAAAGTATCATTTCAAACACATCAACATAATTCGTTTATCATCGAAATGTATGTATGCAAATATGTTATAAATACAATACGTTTTATTAAAAAAAAACGCAAAAAAAAATAATTTCATACGAAAAGGAGAACTCACAAAACGTTCCTATTTTACTCAAGATCCTAAACACTCTCGGTGATCATCTCCTCGGTACTTTCGTCCATGTCCTCTTGCTGCTCCTGTTCCGTGGGTGGCTCATATGCCTTTTCTAACGGGCTTGCCACTACGCCTCCTGCCCACACGCTCATTTCTACTGCGAGTTTGTTGGTGCCTTCCAATAATGGTCTGTAGCCACCATGAGCCAGTACGCGTAGTAACGTTTGAGCAGTGAGACATACGAGATCTTGTTGTTCAAGTGTTAATGCTGTATGCACGCGTATATTGCCACCTTCACATGGATCGGAGATACCTGAAAATAAATATTATAATTTATATACTTAGCGATTCTTATATAAAATTATATAATTAAATCGATATGACATCAATTACTTATTAAAACACAAATAATTCTTGTAATTCGTCATTCACACACTTACGAGAATTATCAGCGCATGCTTTCTCACTCCTGATATCAAATAATTTTCAAAAGTAACTATATTCTAATGAAAATTTTCAATTTCAAGAAGTAATCAATTTTTAATGTACCTGCTGATCCTGGCAGAAACAATCCAGAAGCAAGCAACTGTAACACTCTCTTGTATGCCTGGTTTATCGGTAACGCTTGTCGGCTAGGATTGTTCATTATAGCATTATGTGCCAATAAATCAAGCATCCACGGAGTTAATGGCTGCAGACCTTCGAACTTGCTTCTAAGATCACGAAGCAGTCGAATTAGAACTTTAATGCTAGAATGATGAGCGTTTTCTTCGAACCACCGGGAATGTCTGATAGCAGCGAGATGTCCTACAAGAAATCATATTTCAATAATTGTTAAGTTGTATTGACTAGTGCTCGGAAGAAGAACCGAGTAAAGCCCATGGCACATAGAAAAACGTAAGGCCGTAAACGTAATCAGTAAGCGAATTGACCAATCACAGTTGAGAACGTAAGCAGTCGTCGCTTACGTTCTCAACTGTGATTGATCAATTCGCTTACTGATTACGTTTACGGCCTTACGTTTTTCTATGTGCCATGGGCTTTACATTGCAAAGTGACACCTGCCTGCCCGTTAGTCATTTGTTGCACACAGGGATATCTGAATTCCCGGATATTCTGAGCACTAAATTATGGACCATAAAAATGCAAAAATTACCTTGACAGATTTTAACGTCCAAGTGTTGCTCCGATTCCAGCTTGCGTAGATTTTGATGTAACGTGGTTATTAATACGCGCACAGTAGCTTCGTTGTTCCCAATATCGAATCCATACTCCATTTGCGTAACTCTGAAGATTTCTTTCGGATTCACAGCCTTCAAGTCATTGTGAACTTTATTCCCAAGAGCCTCTACCGCCGTTTTGGTTGGTAAAGTTTTGAGAATGACAACAATGTCAGCGTTATTGTGGCCCTTTATCATTGTACCTTTCTTAAAACTGCCAACTTGTCTTACTTCTTCCAGTTGCTACATCAAGAGATATAAAAACAAATAATATAATGTCAATGTATAATAAATATGAAAGAGGTATATTAAACAAAAATCGAGATTTAATTTATAATTGTACTATAGAAACATGTATACTTACACAAGCTTCAAAGGTTCCTGGTGCAACAATCAGATTATCAAGAACACTTTGGAGCTTAGTAACAAGATTTAAGATGGAAGTCTGTTCCTTTGGTGTAGGACACATATCAGCATTCTTCTTTACAAGAGCTGATTGAAAGTCTGATTCATCTGGAGCAGGTTTAACACGTGGAAAAGCTGCCTCGCAGAGTGTATAATCAAATGGGTGTCGTGGTAGAAACTGTTTCCTTGGAAAGCCCATTCCACGGCCCATACCACCTCGACCACCTCTAATCATCCCTCCGCGACCTCGTACCATATTGTTTCTATAACAAAATATTATATTACCAATAATTTTAGATATATCACACATAGTATAAAATTTTGTACATATAAAAGGCTATTCTGTAACTCTTAACTTAATCGTAACAATTATAATTTAAAAGCTATATAGACCCTATAATTCTAAATAAATCTTAATTTACAAACAAATATAAATTCAGTTGCATTATTCATATTCTTCTTCACAAAAACAAATTTCAATTTTCTATGGCAGAATGTAGTACTTAATAGTTTCACAATCGACTAATCTCTTTAATTTTCTCTAAAATTTTACATTAAACCACATTTTTCCTCAAATTATATAAACAAGGACTTCTTTTCTGCTTATGTCTCCGAAGACGCCAAAGCTTATGATTGATAAAATTAATAATATCTAGCAGTTTATTATAACTAAGTTTTTTTTAGATAATGTTAATTAAGCTGGTATGTCTCATATGTATAAGTTATACTGTTTCTCCGCAGATTTTTAATAAAATAATTTACAAGGTAGAATGTGTATTCACATATTCGATACATAGCAAAATATTTATTTGCTGAAATAATAGCGGAAGAATAAACGCAGTAAGAAATCAATATGACGCTCCCAGATAACCTAAGCAATATGCACGAGCGATATTCAAACGTAAATATAAAATAGTATTTCTAGTACGTACGCGAGATCAACATATTTCTACAATACACGTGAATACGTACCCAAATGACGTAAATTGGAAAGACGTGGTGACGGTTTATTAATGAAAACCGAAAAGCGCACAAAATTTATCGCCCGGCGTTCGCTACTACCATAGGTGAGGCACGCTTCCGTTCGTAGTGGGTAGTTTCGGTACCTGCTCTTGCGACCGATTGTAACAGATTGGCGCCATCTAACGTCACTTCCAAAGTATTAATGGAAAGGTGCGTATTAAGAAAGGTGCGTCCCGCAAAGCCGTAATCACACTACAAAGCCTTCCGATAATCCGATTCTGACTCCACTCCCGACTTCAGAGTCGATCGAATAGAGTGATTTCTATTCTTAGAACATATATATGTTCTAAGTTTCTATTCTCGAGTCAGCAGTCAGATCATCGGCTGCTGCCTTGCTGTGATTGGTTGAATGCTTGTCTTCTTCCATAAAGTGGGAGGAAAAGAAGGATTATGATTTGTTGATTCTCTTACGCATCATGCACAGTGTTGCGCTTAGATGGTTTTAAAATCATCTAGATAGAGATGAGATGGAAATCCGTAAATATGGTTTTGATTTGCAAAAATCTAGATGTAAGATGAGATGTTCCAATTTTCCATCTAGATGACCATCTAAGATGGTTTCATGTAGATGTCGGCAAACACTGATCCATGCATTATGCGTCATGCGAAAGTGTGTGCTGCGGCCTTTAACATTTGGTGAGCAACATGCATAAACGATGCATTATGCGCCATTTGGATGATATTAGGTGCATCCAGAAGCACGACCGGCCACTAAGCGCTCAATGTACCCATTTGTGTTCCATGTTTTAATTAGAATTAGAATAAATGTCTAAACGTTTTCGAAAACTTTTTTATTCGTTTTTTTATTAATTTAAAATGAAACCTCTTAATGGAAGACAATGTATAAGAATTTTCATTAGTTATAATATTATTGAGCTATAATAATACAATAATTGTATTATATTTAGTTGAAATAGTAGGAGATATAGAAAATATTGAATTAAATATTCCTTCAAAGGAAATGTTAATGAAATCTAATAGTACCCACTCCACAAAGGTATAATTCACTATCAACTGAAAATGAATTTTACTTATAACAATAATAACCGGACTGGTTTTTTTTTTTTTTTTTTTTTTAGATTGAAGTAAAAGTAATAAAAATGGGTCGACCGATATTTGTAGTACTAAATATAGTTTTATCAGATATTGTAGCAAAATCAAAACTTGAGCTCGATATTATATATCCTGACAAACAAAATTTGTTTGTCAGAAGGACATCTCCTTCTGACAAACAAATTTTGTTTTTCAAGACATGCAATATCGAACTCAAGTTTTGCTTTGGATTAACAACGATTATGTGTTTACGAATTTTTTTCTTTTTACGACTCCTTTTATCTCCTTATGTGGAGCATAGGACGTCTCTATAGGCCCTCCTTCCTCTTTTGTCGCCGAATCCAAACGGCGTTGATGATGATCATAGATCTTTTGATCACCAGGTGGAGCGCCATTTTTTGGCTCATTAAACGCGAAAAATCGCGTTTGGGCGGCACGTGAGGATTTGAACTCGGGTCTATAGATCGCGAGTCAATCACACCGAGCGGTGAGCCACTCGACGCCACAAGATACGAATTTAATAAAATGTTATTGGATCAAAATGTACTGAAAACTTATTATATATTTTTAACTCGTAGGAAAGCACAAATATGTTCAGTTCAATTTCCAAGCGTGAACACGGCAAATACAGCAATATACGTATAATTGCACGATACGTATATCGCGCGTATTAAAAATAATAAATCTGTAATTTAATTTGTACTCTCTCAATGTGTGTATTAATATTAATTGTATCGATAAAAATCGATATGTATTCGAAATATTTAATTGCATAAAGTAAAGAAATCTTTAATTAAAAAATCCAAATAAGCATAAACTTCTAAGAAACAAAATTTGCATTTAATCTACCTTGTAATTTCATCAATCCTGTCAACATTCGATATTTGCATTACTTTCTTATTGAAAACGTAATATCAAATTACTTGAAATTAATCAACTATCGCAAAAGCATATGCTGCGCGCAATATGGCGCCGCGCAAGAAAAAATTACATCGTGACGAAACGTAAAAGATGTTGAAAACTCGTAGAGGATGGTACTTAGTGGACATAAAGACGGACGAGAATGACAAAAAGATAAAGGATGAGAAGGAAGATGCATTAGAGGCGAGACGAGCAGCGATAGTGAAGCGAGGCGATAATAAAATCGCACGACGTCGTTCGCAGGCCGAGCAACGAGAAGCCATTATAGCGGAGGAATTATCGCGTGCTCAAAAAGCTATTGAATCGACACAAGAAGAGATTGAAGTGGCGCATAGACTAGCTGCTGAATTGTCGCGGCGTAAAAGTAAAGATTTATACTTGAATTGTACCTGAATTCGTTGAGAATCATTTATTACACGAACGAACTTTCATTCTAGCAATATCGTATAGAAAAATGATTTCTTTGCGAATTACAGATGAAGAAGTAAAACGTGCGCTAAAATCCGATCACATAAAATCCTCTGCGCGATCATCATCGAGTTGTGCTCTGGAAGAAGCCCAATCGCGTTTGATAGAGGAAAAGGTTCGTCTGGAAGCGAATCAGGCGGAACTATTAAAGCTCTGGCACGAAGATAAAATTGCCGAGAAGCTGCAACGAGCTGAAGATGAAAAGAAGAAGCAAAACAGGCGAAAAGATCTGCAGAATCAATTGGCGGACAATCAGCGACGAGTTCAACGGAGAAGAATTGAGGAGAAGGAACAGGATCGCAAGATGATGGAACAAGAGATGCGGAAAACTCAGGTGGAGAATGCAAAGACGAGAGAAGAAAAGGAGACCAACGCAATTCTTTTGAGAGCAGAGATGGCCGCGTCTATAGCAGCTAAGAAAGTATGGGAAAGGAAATATAAGGAAGCATTAAAGGATGAGGATGAAAGGATAGCTCGCATAATCACGGAAAAGGAAACACGACACGAAAAACAGCTCGGTATAAAGGTAAAACCGAGTTTCACTGAAGAGACACGTACATGATTTGAACTGTAAAATTTATGGGATAAAAATATTTCAGCGATGTATATGTTTTTCATAATGTAGACGGAACTTCGCGCAGCGAGAGAAGCGGCGATAAATAACGTAGCTAGAGAACTGCTGACTAACGTGTGCAAAGAAAGAAAAAAGCAGGAAATCGCTGATGAATTGTATCGAGAAGAGCAGAAGAGTAAATGGATGGAAGAACCTGCGTCAAGAAAGCAATACGATATTGCTGAATCCTTCAAAGAAATAGTAACATTAATCATCACAGTTCTTTGAATATTTTCTACAAATCCACTGGCAAAGTTACATAGAATATTTTCTCAAAATAGTAAGATTTCAGAATTTTTTTAACTATTTCGAATTAGTGATAAAATAAATTTGGTTTACAAATAGTTGAAAATTCTGAAATATTTACTTTAAATTTCTTAAATTGATTGTTTTTATAAAAATTGTATATAAAAAGAATCCTATGTTAGAAATTTGTTAAAAAACATCACAAATTTATGTATTTGAAGGCGAAACAGAAAGCTGAACGCAAAGCAAGAGATGAAGCGATTGATACCGCGTTTGTACAATATTTGGCCGAATTACGAAAGAAAGATATTGAGAAACAAAGAGAAGAAGATAATGCACGATACGCAAAAAGTAAGCATGCGTTTGCATTATATTCTAACATTAATGTAATTTTGAATTATAAAATTATTTATATTGCTATATAGCTTCAAATATACATACCTACAAAAAATTCTGAAAATGTTAGAAATTAAATTGGTCATACAATTATATTACAGAAATTCAATATGGAAAGGAATTAAAAAACGTTATAACAAATAACAGAGTTAATTACGCTATGAATATTTTACAACGATAGTCCGAAATTTGTGAGCAAGATAGAAATGCAAATCAATTAACTACAATGAGTGTGAAATAGTCTAAGAATAGAAACGATAATAACAACGACTGTAAGAAAAAAGATAATTGATACGAGCATCAGAAGCTATCCTAAACGATGCAACTAATACTCTTTTAATATTACTAAAAGAATTTCCTGAAAATTTAGAAATATAAATAAAATGAAATATAAATGAAATGAAATATAAATATAGATTCCAAAATTCCAATGAAAAGTGTATATGATAAATACGTAAAATTAATGAAACATATAAATACTTAAAAGATAAAAAATAAAATATTGCATTCTTTATAATTATAATTATAACATCATTGTATAATCGTTTATAATTACATTATGGAAAAAATAAAATTATGCTTAATACGGTAAAAGAATCATATTCAAAAAGAAGAAATGATGAAATAATGCTAATAAAGTTTGAAGCTCACGACCGTACAATAACGAGTGCAAAAACCTATCAATTCCGAAAATTCATTTAAGTTCATGAAACTCATATTTTAGTGTAATGATTAATTTTATTAAATTTAGTAGTATTAAATTTAATTTATGACATATATATATAATATTTAATAGAAAACTAGTTCCTTCTTCATAAATTAGGGCATATTCTCTTATCAAGATGTTTTTACTAAATAAAAACGTGTCTATTATACTATATACGTGCTAGCTCGTTTTTTTTTTTCTTTGCACGATCGCAGCTTCTTCATCTCTTCACATTTCGTCTAGTATTTATTGGTATACAGGTATGTACATATCTTCCCGGCGCAGGATTTCTCTCTGCGAGAACTCCATTATATTTGTACAAAGTCCGTGTAAAAATACAGCAGCCCCATCTTATATCAATTATAAGTTTATGTGGTACGCGATAAGAGTTAAAATAATAACAGTCTCGCCTCTCGGACGTATCAAATATTCCGAATAGGTTCGGATCGAGACCACTTGTGCCCTCGACTTTGTTCGGATCCGAGTGTTGTGTGTTATATTATTTGGCATGTGGGGGGACATGCGATCCCAACATCTCGTCCCTGCTAATCGTTAAATGGAACAAGAAGCACTCGAGTTTAATGGGTATGACTACGGCATTAATTGTAAGTACGAGCAATCAATTTGTTGGGTAGCTGGCTATAGTCGCCACAGTCGCTCAGCCCTATCATCATTCACAGATCAAAAATAGAGTGTTCAGCTACGACTACTGAAGTATGATGCTTCCTTAAATCATACGACGAGCACTCATACATACGAGAAAAGATTCTACAGCAACACCAGCAATCTTCCCTGCTAGATAATTCATACGATAGTCTTCGTTCTTATTCACGATCGAATCTCGAAGCTTAAGAAAGTTGCTATCCTTTTACAAAAGTAGATCAATCTTATCCTGTGAAATAAATGGAGTTAGAAGAAATCTAATTTTCATTGGAAACTTTAACTTCGTTATTCTGTTCTGTTCCCATTCTTAGGAAATTCGAATAAAAATCAGAATTCCTTTCAACGCCAATTTTTTCCTCTTAACGTACGTTTTGTAAAAAGCTTTTTGATTCTTTTAATGATTCTCTTTTCCTTAACAGTACATTGATAATTGAGGCATTCCTCAATTATCAAACCCGGCACCTTTAAAACACCATTTTTATTTTTTTTTTAATTTACTGATTTATTCTGGCGAATATTGTATATAGCCTGGCGGAAACAGTGGTTGTACTTACGTAATGTAGGAAGTTATAAAGCTAAGATCGTGTTAAATAGTCAACGTCAAAGAGTTCAAAATCCCGGTAAAAATAGTGTTACTATTTACCCCTATTACAATTAGCCCTTTGTTCTCCTATATGACGATGCGATTCCGCAACGATATTTTTATAAATTTCTGCAACTTACAAGCGTGAATAACTTCACAAAAAAATCTCGAATTTTTTTCGTAAAATGTGTGTTTTATAATTTTATCTGTAAAATACGTCAGCAATTTAAAAAAAAATAAAAATTATGTTTCAAAGGTGCCCGGTTTGACGTGGAATGCGTCAATTTCTTTCTAATTTCATAATACTAAGGTTTTGTTCCACACTTCGATAAACTTCAACTCATTTTCTCACTATCTTACTTTTTTGTTTATCTATTAAATAAAGTGTTATATAGTTTATCCAAAAATGGAACAAGTGGTCCTAAGTATAGTATTTAGTTACACACACATACAAACACACACACACATTCAATTTGTTAAATAAAAGAAATAATACTACAGATATTACGTGATATCTAAGGCCGACTGATTTCTATTTTCCTTTCTAAACTTATTCACGTTTCTCTTTGATTTCGCTAAATTGATTATTTTCTCAATTACTAAATGTTCTTGCGCTAATCCAGACTCACTCGCAACTCAATTTAAAATAGTACAAAATCTTTTCTCGTATGCACGCGTTCTCCATCGCGTTTGCCGAATTCTTAGGATTGTAGAAAATCGCTAAATAATATGCGTTTATCAATTTGATTCACTTCACCGCGACTAAATCTCTCGGTAGACAGACTATATAAGGATAACAGCTACACTTTTTATCATCTCTACACATTACAGAATTCAAATATCCAAACATTTCTGCCGTCTACCTGATTCTACGATCAAGCTACACGCTTTCTTGCCTTCATTCTTTTTCTGTTTTTTTTTGCTTCTTGTTTTTAGATTATAACGTAAATCTTACGATCAAAGCGGAATACATACTACTCTTACTTGTACAACATATATAAGTATGTATCACAATATATGTGTATATATATGTATATGTATAGATGCATATAGACACAACGGAGTACAAACGAAGTTAACAAGTGTCCAGATTAATACGGATTAAACGCTCGCCGCGCTCGCATGCGAATTCGTAGCGATTTCTGCGCAGCGACTAGGCACAACAAAGCGAATCGCGCAACATGGCTTATAATCGATTAAAAATTTAGAAATTGAAATTGACATTTCAGTGGATTTAAATGCTACAGACGCTCGTAAAGTTGATGTCTCTGTTCTTTTCTTTCTCTTCCTTTTTTTTTTTTTTTTGATAAGTAAAACATGTAAATTTTTTAAATATACTTCAATTGTGTATTAATTGTTATTTAAAATTAAGAATTATGTGAATTTTTCTTTTATAAAACGTGTCCAGTTATTTTATGAAATAAATCCCATTCAACTAATATCTGCGTCTCATCAGCTCATACATTATTCTTTTTATTACTTTATTCAATTAAATTTCATTCACCCATTTCCTTACTACAGTATAGCATCGAGAATTTAATTCACCGAAATAATATCGATTTCAATTCCCGATTAATTCAAGAGAGGATATAACACAGCTCTGTCTTAAAAGTAAAAGCTTCCTTACGAGTTAAGCAATTCTGTCTATGGGTTCATGTAAAAGTAACATCACATCTTCTTATGAATTAAGTACATTTACGGGAGCGCGTGTACGTGTACACACGCATACACGCGCACATATGCAAACAGATCTCTCTTGAGAATTGTTGCTATGAACACCAGCTTCGCAGTTACAGAATTAATTATGAACATACAGAACACGGTCGGTCATGTGTAATTGTCGTATTAGACAAAGCATAATTTCTTGCAAAGTCTTAGTTTACCTAATATATAATTGTAAATGTTCTTATGAACTTTGGAGTTCAAACATCGCTTAATTAACAAATTAGGCTTCAAATTGTTTTTAATTAACAAACGTATATCAAATAATATGGCGCAACATAATTTTAATATTTGTTCCAACTGCACGCTGTTACAAAATTTAATCATACGCATATGTATAACTGATCGACACGTTCTTTTAAAGATAAACAACAAAATTTGATCAATTAGAGATACACCTTTCTTTAACTCAAAGCAAAATACTATTTAAAAATAAAATTTTCATTCGCCGGAAGAATTAATTCATTTAACTCCGAACGGTATACATTTTTAATTGAAAACTTGCTCACGTTAAATTATGCAAGTACACAGCGATGTTAATAATTTTAGTCAAACAGCTTCAATTAAGTTAAAAAAAACCTATCAGACCCTGTTTATATCATTTAGTAGTCTATACGTAAAATCTAGTTATTTTTACGTTATCTCTACCTCTCTCATTCTCGTTGAATAATACTTGTTAAGGAATGATACAAAAATGAATGCCGCCAACGAGCGTATTAATATTATTAATGTTATTATCCTTGAGTATCGAGTCCGTATCGATCCGACTTGTTACTTTATTATACACAGCGACTTCTCGTACATCGCGGCGCGTCAGGCTGATAGTATGAGAAATCGGCGATCGTAAACGGATCTTAAAGAGGATGCATTAACCGTACTCATACGTGTTGGCTAATAAGAGCTAGTTTAGTCGATTTTATAATGATTAATCAAGCCGGCTATCACGATTTTGTCGCCATGAGTAAAATCGTGGCAGTTCAGGAGATCACGGCGACACTCGAGGGGAATGTACATGAAGCTGATTTGTGAAACGCGAATATTCTGTATCGAAATACATTTTAGCTCGAGTGCAGCGGCGCACGTGCTTCGAGCGCAAGGAACTTAAACTCGGCAAACACATTCGACAATGCGTTGCAAAAGAATGCTAATTAAGTAGAATCGATAAAAGTATATTTCGTGTGTTATATGAATTATGGAAAAATTATCTCTCTGATATAATAGAATATATACAATATAATAGAACATATATAACATATTATGCGGATTTTCCACAAAGTTTTCTTTGAAAAAAACATTTAAATACGAAAAAACAATTATCTATCGACTCTAATTAATCGATTTATCTTTTGCAGAGTGAATAGGAATGTCTGCTCGGTCAAGCATATTTATAAATGAAAGATATACTCAGAAATGCAATTAAATATTATATATAAAGAGGCATAAGTACCAAATAATAGCACCAGATATTAGATTTGAAGATTAAATATGAAATAGAAAAAAAAACAGCATGTTTTCCGTTAATAAGCAATGAAAATCGATTAAAAAGTCGGTGTCGCTAAAACTCAGCATAATGGATGTTAATGAAAATATTTTGTACAGTCTTAAAAATATAAGCAATTTGTTGTCGGTTCGTCTCAGAATTTTCGCGGACGTCCTAAAAATGCAAAGTATATCTAATAAGATGCTTCATGAGATGTAATTAGGAATTGTCGACAATAGGAACCACGAATGAATAATAACGTCATAATATTATAACGTTACAGGTAGATCGGGCGGCGAAGAAACAAGAGAACCTCCCGACCGACGATCTGTTCACAACTGACGTTTCACGATTCCCATCGATGTCAGATCAGTTCTAATCGTGGTATGTTAAGTTTTGTTCCTCTGCGTCAATACAATAGCCCTAGCTAAGAATAAATGCTGTAATTAATACATTGCATTATAACAGTAGCTATAATATAGAATTACATGTTGATTATATCATAGCTAAAGATATAATATCGCAATTATAATGTAATTTAGCTATATTATAGCTAGGGCCATAATATAAAGTACGTAATAGCTATGTTACAGTTAGGATTAAAATATAGAGTATTTTATAGCCGTATCATAGCAACGACTGTAACGTAGTATCTATTACGACTACATTATAACTAGGGCTGTAATTTCAAAAGGAGCGACTAATAAAAATTAGTCAATCAAGGCTGTCGACGCAATAAACCTTTTGTTATCCTCTTACGACCGATATATCGCCATTTAATTGAAAATTACGCTATTTACAGACGTAATTTTTCCTAAGCGTCAAAAAAGAGGGTATAGAGTAACAGCACAGGCACAGTGTAAAAAGACTTTAAGATAAAGCATTACTTTCGACACCTCAAAATACCGCGTTGCATTTTGAGATTAATGCTGCGCACTGATCCCTGAAAATTTAAAGCTACCATCGAAAACGAATCGTAATCTGCTTTCATAGCTCCGGGAAATATTAGATGAATAGATCAATATTTATATACTTGCGGCGTTACACCAGTCGCACTTTAAACAGTGGATTTGGCCCCTTTCTTTGGAAGAAGAAAACTGGCTTGATCGTCGAAAAACTATCATCGGCGTACCCTATACGTTTGTCATCAAAGCGCAAATTCCGTTCATCGCAATCGCGCGTTGGTAGCATCGTCGAGGACAGCGCGAATGTTCGCAAACGTATGATTGGTCACCACACTATCGCTCCACTCTAGAGATGCAGAAAGGAAGAATGATGAGAATTAATGCAGCACGTCTTTTCGACAGAGCGATTAGCAAACGGTTGAAGAAAAACGAATTAAAACGTTCAATAAGTTCGGGAAACAAATCAACTAATAAGCGAGTCTTCCCTTCCACGTTCTCGGACGGGATTCTTCCACGCACGAGCTAGCAATTCAACGCGAAACTATCTATCATTTCGCGTATCCTAAAATATTATCTATTCTCGCACACGGATATAAGGGATAAAAATACGCAAGAGCTACTTAGTCGCATAGCGACTCGAAATAAACTCAAGCACGCTCATTATCCATGGTCACGTATCCGAGAAGAGAAACTCGCTCTCGGACAGCAATACTTCCAAATCGGAGGGTACGGTGTGCAAGTCGGAGTTAGCCGGTTCCGGTAAATCGCTGCCGCTGTTTCCGATACCGGTAGGGGCTATCTGTCGTGCTCTGCCTATTCTGACTCGGTCCTTTCTCTTGGCCGTTCGCAGCAACACCCCGGTTCTCGGTAGCTTCGCCGTTCTGCTATTCGCGTTCGTATGATTCACGGCCGTGGCCGGTGATTGCGCTACCTTGTCGGACTTGCGCAGCTTCACGCTGAACCTGAACGGCGGCTTATATACCACCTGGAGCCTCGCCCGTTCCTTCCTGGCGAGAGAATTCGACGAATTCTTTAGTTCCGCTCTTCCAGTCTCCACTCCAGGACGACGCGTGGACGTTAATGCTTGTTGTCTCGACACTGGCACTCTGGACCCAACCGCCCCTCCACTGGCTGTTAGACCCACCGGAGTCGATTTACTTTTCGGCATTCCGTTAACGTTGGTCCGTGCACCGGTTTCCGGTCGACATTGTGAAGATGCCAATAACCAAGAACGCACTTTACTCTTAGGATCAGCGTTCGTTTCTGGTTCCTTATCTGCTTGAATTGCCGAGTAGTCAATTACTTCCTTTCTATGTTGCTTTTTACGCTTCCTCTTGTCGTTATCGCCGCTGCTTCCACCGCCTGGATTATTGCTAGTACCTTGTCCTTTATCTCTAACAGATGTGATCTTCTTCCGTTTATTTTCTTGCGTTACAGCAGCCAAAATTTCAGCCGGTCTCTTTCGCGCAAAATCATCGACTTGCCCTGCAGATGATCTCTTTGTTTGTTGGTTTTGTTTCTTCTTGGAGTCCTTTAAATAACAAATGAGAAATTTAATTTAAGTATTAAACTCAAATATCAAATTAATATATTAATATTTAAATAGTTCAATTAAACAATAGTTTTTGTTTTCTAATTCTTTTTAAATTAATTTACCTTATTGTTAGACTTGTCGGTGTGGCTACTATCTTTATGTTTGCGATGACACCTCTTCTCTCTGACCTTTCTACTGAGAGGAAGTTTGGCACGTACCGCTGGTGGATGCACCGTTACTCCTTCCGTACCTTCCGGCGGAAGCCGTACCGTTTCCGTCGTAGAACTATGGATTATCGTGACAGACTTTAGCTTCAAGTCCGGTCGCTTGCCCAGTAATCTCATGCTTGCCACCTAAAAGAAGAAAAAGAAATCTTTATATGCACGTAACAAAATTTTGATTTTGTTGGTTTATTAATAATTAATAAAAAAAAATTATAATAAGTTAAATAAAATTAATAATTTTTTATAAATACAAATAAGTAAGATACTATTATGGTATATAAATATATGTTTCTTTACATATTTATATGTACCATTTTAATAATAAAAAATATATAATTTACAAAAAAAATTCAAATTATTTTATGCAAAGCTTTAATTAAAGATTATAACGTCTAGCAACTACAAAAATATTTGCTTCTACACGATACTTTAATCGAAGGTAGGTATGTAGAGTAAGGTATAATAATGTAATATTGAAATTTTTGTTAGAAAGCAATTAATATACATTGTAATAATCTACTTTTTATGTACCCCTACACTTACTCTCACTGTATATTTTTCTTTTCCTTAGCCGATTCTAATAATAAACATTTTAAGTATATATGAATAAGTAGATTGTTTTCTTACGCTTATTTGTACAAAAACATTTATTCTATACATCAGTATAATCTCATCGAACTATTTGTTAATTAAAAATAATAATAAATTATTAAATAATAGAAAAATTATAACAGAATATCTAAATTTTAATTTGAAAAATAAATAATTTTTGAATACATATTATTTTAAAGAAAATGTAATTTTTTTATACGTACCAGTAATGATATCGCCGCAAAAACTATCAGAGCGGCTGCATACCAATGTTCAGCGACCCACCGTCTGAAAGTGGCGAGGCTCTCGTCGGATAATAAGAGCTTCCTTAAAGTTGCTAATGGACCGCTTGGATCGACCTGAATAAAATATTTTAATTAACGCGGCTACTACTTGCACTATCCTACATGTTCAAGTTCCACTTACCTCGCGACATTTTTGAAAGACATCACAGTAGCCGTTATAATCGTTGCATGGAGTTCCTGGCTTTGAGAACATATCGGGAATATCATACGGTGGCGAATTCCAATCGAAAGACGATCTATGAAGAAAAATGATTAATTTAATAAATTTTTTTACGAAAATCGATTGATAAAATAATACGAGATAAACGTACAAGCATGGTTGATTTTCCCCGGGAAGTCGACAACATAACTCGCAAGCCTTCGTCGGCGGATCGTTCGGGCCTGGTATGCATTGGCAAGATTCCAGTCCGTATGCTAGGCAAATGCTGCCAGTGCACTCCTGTTGAAACACAAGTTTCGCGCACGTGAGATCATATTTGTTCATTTAATAAGAGAACACGTGTATAGTTTTTAATGGGATTAATATCTACCCCCATGAAGCAAACCAGCTCGCGGTTGCAAATGGTCTTATTAGGCTTGTTAATGGATGGCGGACAGTATGGGGAACGACCGTCGCAGAAGCTCGCATCGCGACAGCCGTTGTCATCTCTGCACTTGTCTCCGAAACGGAGATTACATTCGCTGGTACAGCACGGACCCTGAAAAGGAAAGCAAATAGAGTCGTCGAAATTACATCACGTCATACGCACGATGCGCCGCGTAATTACGTTATGCATGTCTGTGAGTAAATTACCTAAAGTAAATTTCATAGGATATCACTTAAATTAATTAACATTTCCGGCAAAATAAACGAACAACGAGCGATGAATATACACGAGCGAATCTTAATCTTTTACACGAAATACGAATACTACACATATCAATTATTAAACACATTATTTGTTACGTTATAAACACGCCCAATTTTGTGCAACAGAAATTTGATCAAATATTAAAGATGTAATGGCTTCATAAAAAATTGATTGAAATGTGACTATATTTATACATCTATTGATTACACACACATGTGTGTATTATATTAATACATATATTTTGCTATTTGAATATTTAAACAATTGAATGAACGTTAAATATACAACTGGACAAGCAAGCATTTGAAAAATTTGGACGCTTGAACACTTAGCATTTAATATTCAAGATTGAAAAAGCACAAGCGCGGCTTCGAGTTAAATTTTGAAGGAAGAAAAGCCGTCCTAAAATTCCCTCGACAATACAGTCCAACTCGCATTTTTTACAAGCGTCATACATACTTGACTAGGACTGCACACCGCGCGCGGTGTGAGAGTGCACGGGGTCTCCTCGGACGGCGGATAACGGCGCTGGGGATAGCAGCACGAGTCCCTGCAATCCTCCTCCCAGCCGCAATCGCACTCCTCGCCCTCCTCCACCACGCCGTTGCCGCACAACGATACTTGCGGTTCTACAATAAACAATGCAGAGTACCGTCAGGGTTAGAGCAAACGGGAGTGGAATAATTGGACGAGCAGATAGAAGCTGGTTCGATCAATTTCGTCTCAGTACGACGTCACGATATATTGCGTTCGCCGTTGCTCCCACAGTATAAAACTCACCGGTGAAGCATCCCTTTGGAGAACGTGCTTTGCTGTTGAGCACTGGATTTATGGCATTCAAGCTACATGGACTGAAGCGATTGTTGTTACGCTTGTCCCCGCTAGTAGCACGGGCGAACATTATAAAGTTGCCATCCTCTCCGCCCGGTGTACATTGTTCCGGATCGTGCTGGACGCGAAAGAACAATAAGATGTACGACATACACGTCATTCGTTTATTGACGGGACAAGGTTGTATAACAAGGCCGCGGAATGTGGAACGCGTTGTTTCTGAACGTAACTAACGGAAGTGTACGTACCGGCGAGCCGAAGTTGTGGCCGATCTCGTGAGCCAAAGTAACGTGAGAGACCGCAGGCGGTACGTGCTTTCCGTAATTTAATAGGGTCACTATGCCAGTGTTTAATGACTTCATGCTGCCGCGGTAATGCTATAACATTATTTTAATAATTATTTTTCATCGAGCTTCATATTCGTAACGATTTACGTTTCAACGATCACAAAAAGAAATCACGTAACAAGAAATCAACTTTTGTCAGAGTAGATCAGCTGATCACCATGAGTGGAATTATGCTTCAAATATAATGTTGAGAGTACAAGATAAATAAATTGTTATAGATTTTGTAAAAGTCTATAACTTAATGTAATTAATTCTTTTTAAAATTTAGAGTTGTTACCATACTATTTATATATTTATAAAAAATATAATCAACATTTTTTTAAATAAAAATTCTACTAATATTATTCGCCACGCATACCCCGTTTTTCTCACATACGCCGCCAGCATTCTTGAGATCGCCTGTCCATGCCAAACCTAGAGTTCCCATCTCGAAATCCCGATACGTGAACATATAAGCCAGACAGAATGCGTCATAATCCTCCTCTATAACAAGGCAAACATCAAGGTATTAGTACAGTACAATCCTCTCGTTTGCGGATATTGACGTATCGACATTACGCCGTATTGCGGCTTATTAACAAAGAGCGGCAACGAGGTCTTTACCTGAAAAGAGCTCTAAATATTTCTCCACCCCATAATTGCCCGGAAAACGATAATGAGGATCCCTCAATGCATCCTCGCTGTGCACCTTGACGCGTTTGATCATGAAACTGATATTATCCGGCCGTCCATCTTGATTGAAATCTGAAAACAGACGTGATGCTGTTTAAACACTAGTTGTTTCTTAAATTGCATATTCATCAGAATTGAATAATTCACTTAAACTCGTGCGTTATTCTAGTTCTGTTTCTTGCGCCTCACATGACGATTCCCATGTGATTACCGCTCTCTGGTCCAAACAGAGTAATTCGCATGTAATCTAGAACTCAGTATATGTTATACATAATGGAACAGTACGGTAATGAAAATACTGTATATACAAATAAGTAGACCAGCGTATGTTTTACAACGATATATCGAGTAATAAAACACATTTATCAAAATATTTTAAATTGATATTTATCATAAAAAGCATTAAAAGCGTATCTCATGTTAATTTCAAAATTGCAAAATAAAAAATTTTATATACATTTGTATTATAAAAATATGTATATGTATATATAAACACATTTTATTCTTCTTAATTACGTTTTATGCTACTCGCTTAACTTTCAAAAAATTACGTTGTATCTTTCCCCTTGTACGAAAAAAAATTACGAAAATAAATATTTTTTATAATTATATCTTTCACTGGATATACAAAGATTAATTATACAATATTATATATTTTATAATCAGTGTTTCTCGAATTAAATTGAATATTAATGCCATGGAATTTAAGTAGCATTAAACAGAGTTATTTACATGGATAATATTCGAAAACTGTGTTTTGCTTTACTTTCTCTAGTTATTTGCTAATTATTTACTTTTTCAGCGGTCTTCGCAATTTCAAGTTTCATCTAATAATTCCATCGCTTTTACTGCAGTGTGCCGAAACTGTAAATGAGAAAAATCAAAAAATTTGACGTACACACGCGTATGCTGACATACAAAGAAAAAAAAACTAAATTTATTATTTTTATCGTACTTTTTTCTATGTAAACACAACGCATAATTGTGCTTAATATTAAAACCCTTAAATAAATATATATAAATTTACATATCAACAAAATAAAAATCAAACAAATAAATTCTTCCCCATAATATCATCAACCGCGGTAGAAATTGTGAAATTCCAGAAAATTTTCATAATTCCCATAGTTTCCCTGGCATTCCTTAAAAGTCTCTGAATTTCTTTGCTTTTTTCCTCGCGTCCTCGATATTCCCTGGCCATTTTAAATTAGATTCTCTTGACGTTTTTCACGTTCCTCAAGTAGTTTTCAATTTTCCCGACTTTTTTCTCCCCTCGGCCTTCGCCGTGTCCGTTTTCCCGACTCGTGGCGAAAACTGTTAGATCATCTCTCACCGTGTTCCGTGCGCGCGCGGTATATCGCCGCGAGGAAGAACAACCCACCTGTGTGTTTGTAGATGGAGTTGACTCTTTGCACGTGCCTCGTCATCACCTCGATACAGGCTTCCTCCGTGCCGTATCGCGCGAAAAACTGATGGTCCGCTTGCAAGTAGAGCATGCAGGTAGTTTTCCGGGGATCTACCGTCGCGCGCTTGTGCAGATGCCTCGCGATCCGATCTCTGCCGTTCACGCTGCAGACGGGAGCGAGAAATAAGGTCGCTTTTATTGCACGATGAAAAACTCCGTGTTCCTCTCGGACTTCCAAACTTCTCCAAATTCTATTTTAACTTTTGCTCGGTTTGTCTACCGTTGCACATACGTTTGCCGGTACTTCACTAATAATTGACACGTGAATCGACTCCAAAGACAAAGCTACTAGAATTTAGAGTAAAACCGTCGTCTCTTCCATGTTACTCATTGTCTTCCCCGTCATCAAATGAATAACTTCAATCAATTCCTCTTTTTAGAAAAACAGGATGTTCTTTAAATTAGAAAAAGTAAAAATCTAATGAGAAGAGAAAAAAGGACACATTGTAACATAGAGAAGTATTTAGATATATATGACCGTTTTTCTAAAAACGGAATTGATTATTCTTATTCTTCTGCTCTTTAAATAAACATTTGAAACTTTTTATATCGTTATAATCTAATTTAAACTTTCCCACGCTTTGAAAAATAGCGCAACATATTGTGATAAAATAAATTTATTTGCGCACATTAATTGCAGGAAAAAGATTTGAGATCTTTTTTACCAGAAATGCAAGATACTTACGCGTCCGTGTACTCGACGTCATTATTCGTTTCTAATGTTAACACTCTCGCATTGTTTTCCCTCGAGTAGAGAGCAACGTGCTCGCCGAGTAGAGGCTCGTAGAATGCTTGAGAATTGTTGTACCTATATCTAGAGGAACAGACATCGCGAAGTTTAAATTTACATTTAAAGTCCGCCATATGAAGACTGACATAGAACGCATAATATATGATAATCCCGGCCGGGCGGCAGGAATTTCCTTTACACGTGTCTAAATTATAGCGCGTTTGCCAACAATATGCTCTTTTATCATTTTCTTCGCAAATATATTTTCATAAAGTAGAAAATATACGAGAGAGAACATAAGTACTTAAATGTCTTAATAAGAGCACAGCCATTTCATCGGTTATATTTATTATAAATAATACTTGAGGTTTAATTATAAAATATATGAATTATATATAAAGCGTTTTACACGATAAATCATCTCAATATGATCGTTAACAAAGTTCGTCGCGCCCTAATATATTAAAAATCTCTCAAATAAACACATTGCATTTTAGAAAATTACTTTAAATACAAATGCATGTACCTATCGCCAAAAAATTATATGTTGTATATCACCACGAATCAAATCTTGAGTCTATTTTATATGATAAAATTAAAAAGTTCAAACAATCGCTTTGACGTCATCGTTAAGTTAAAAACAATTGATCTATAAACAGAAAAATATACATATTGGAGCGTATTCAGAGCGTACTTATAATGATATTAGCATGCATTAGCATATATTGTAGTTCACGTTATATAACACATTCTGAAATCCGAATATAAGTCCGCCATTGTATTTAAATATAACTTGTTTTGAAAGTACTTCAAAAGTTCATATATTCGCAAATTTGTTTTAAGTTTATCACAAGTATCGAAATATACTTTGTATTTAGTTAATTTAATATTTCAATCTCTCTCAAGATTATTAAATTAATACAAATTTGATTTGATTATTACATATAATAGAATTTTATACAATTCTTCAAAAAAAAAGAAAAAAAAAGAAAATAAATTCTTATTTAGAATACATAATAATGTTTTTCTAAAATTTGTAATAAGTATTGGGTTATGGAGGAAAAATTCTGCAGTTTGTATTAACTCAAAACTATATGGGTGAAGTTGGCTACGTCGTACCGACGACTTAAATCGTACCTCTATTGTATTTTCTAAACGAAGTATTTTTTTTTAAAGATAATGACACTGATATGACGCTGATAATATAGGTTAAAAACTGTCATTTTTGTTTTGTCTTTGAGTCATCTGTTTACGAGTGATATTCAACATTGATTTTGTTCGGTGTCTGATTTATGTTTTGGTACAATTTATCTAAGATGTTATTAGTATAAATTAATTCCAACGTCATACGTCAAAGCTTGTGCGTTGCTTATGTCTACAACTTAAGTCTGTCTTAATATGTTGCAATCCTGTACTCAGATCCATAATCTTCTTATGGCTCATACGCATTGATAAATTATGTTTATAAGTTAAGTATCTATTAGCATCGGACGTGAATAATTATTAAAAGACTTATAACTCTAAAGAATATAAGGACTCCGAAAAACAAAATTTTTTAATATACTCATTTTTACTGGCTTTTATAATAGTATTATACAGGTACGAATACGCAATTTCTTAACATTTTTCCACACTTAATTCTAAGTTATAGGTTATAGAACGTAATGAATAAAGGAAACAGCCTGTGTATGCAAGATCTAATGCACAAATTGACGTTATTTACCGTCATATTGACGTTAAAGATGTTATTTTAATGTACGAAAGTTAACGTGAAAAGTCAATTTTTCCTAAAAATTTATTTAAAAAAAATATTTTTGTACGATTTTTTGTTCCTGAGTTATTCGCTAATTAAATAAAGAAACATTTTGATTTTAATTGCTCGTAACATTAAAAATTATCGGATTCTTAAAGCTGAAACTTTGCTTTAACGAATATAATCACTAATTTTTTACATGTATAATATACAATTTTGAGTTAATAAAATACTGCAGAAATTTTCCTCCAATCCAATATATTTTAAGACTATTATTAAGAAAATCTTTATTAAAGATAACTATTATTTAAAAGAAAAGATAAATTGTAATTACTTCTCTTACTTATAGAGAGTACCTAATAGAATGATATTACTGTGTGGTGTGATAAAAAAAATTACGTCGTGCCAACAGCATAAAAAAATTATCTGTGAATCTCAAAACCCATTATACGATCCGAGAAGCGATTTATACTTTCGTCTGCATCGATAATCGTCGCTTAGAAATTCAAGAGCGCGAGATAGAACTTACCTATCGAAGGAATCACGAAGAGACCCCTTTTGATGCAGCTGATGACTGGCACAGGGTAATGGATGTGGCGGGGTGGTAACATCGGAGGTGCGATAAGCTATGCTGTGATAGGGCGGCGACGTGTCTTCATTTTTATTCAAATACCTGCTCGACGGCTCGATGTAGTACTCCTCGAATCTGGTCACGACACTGCCGTCGAAGAGACCATCTTGCGTAACGACACCCTGCACCACGGCGCTCTCATCCTCTGGAAAGAGAACAGAATGTGACACCGGTTAATAAAGACCCAGTAATCGAATTTATCGAGAGAAAAGGGATCATTTAGATTCAATTATCATATAATTGGCGACTTTTTTGGATCTTCCACCATTACAGAATATTTAAACTCATGAGTATTAATTAATATATATGTAGAATATGCAAATACATAATATCATACATAGGTAATATAATCTATAAATATATATATATATATAATATAATTACGTAAATAATTACAATTTAATTTTTCTATATTATAAATAATAATTATATCAATAATTATACTACCCCCATTCACATTTTTTGTTTAAAACTCGATCTCCATTTAGTTTATTATCCGTTTACAATATAAAAAATTTTCTTTTTAATATTTGTAATTCTTAATAATTTAATTCATTACATGATAAATAAAATATTACAATTTTTGTCATTACTCGTGCAAGAGACAAATCGTTGACAATTCAAAACACGTTAATATTTATTTTTCTACGACAATTTGCTGTATTTTTATAACGCTCGTAAGAATGGAGATTGCTAAACTTATTATTAATAGTTTCTGCACACAGAGACGAATTCGCGTTGAATGTATGATGATACAACCCTGCAGCTACCTCTTAAAATCTGCGAAAATACGAGGGCGAATCGCGGCGGCAGGAGACCCGTTCCCACGATGCATATAAAGTCACCGCCGAGGTTAATTATATTTGTAGAGCCTTCGTTCTTCGTGTCGTCGTGCTTTCATTATTTCTTATGAAATTTTTGCGACTTTGTTCGAGTTAGCGAAAGCGCGCGATAAGAAAGAGGAGAGCTTTCGGTATGGTAAATTTTCGGACGGAATTAGAAAGGATTGCCAGGTATTTAGGATACGGGGACGAGCCATAACTTCGTTTCGTTTCGTTTCGCTTCGCGTCGTGCAATTCCATCCGGGCGGTTCAACTTCCGAAACGAAACGACAGATTTCCGTGGAAAATTCTTCAATTCGAAGTTTACCATCACGATAACGAACAAGAAATTTCTTCTATTTGCTTTATCGCTGTTGGTAATATGCGACGTAGTTTTACACAATTCAACATAAAATATGTGCAAATCCTGTGCAAATAATATGGATTAATCGAATGTAAAAGTAGATAGTCCAGTAATATTATTAAATAATTAAGTTCCTAAATAGAGAACTCTACTCTAAGCAAATATATATATATATATCATATATCACTCTCTTAATATATTGACATTTTAAATTTCAAAATTTAAACATTTGAGTGCAAAGTTCAACTACTCTCTTATTTACATTTTACTTTATTTATTTTCTACTCTTCTCTCTGTACGATAAAATATGCACAGACTCGAGTACAATAATAACGGAAAGATTGGAATTTGTCTGGAAAAAGCAGTATGTACTGGAACTGTCGCTCAATATGCGTGTACCTCACTTCCGGTACAATTTTGTAAAGACGTTGTAAATTGAGGGACGACAGAGAAAGTTGAGTGGAAGACGCTCTGGAAAATCACGACCTCCGAGAATCGAGTCTCTTGGCTCGAAGCGAGTTTTCCCGGGTAGAACGTGGGTAGATTCCAGGAATTCCAATCGTCAATCATAAACGATATTCCGGACTATCGCTAGAGGAAAGATAAATCGACTAAAGTACTATCGCGAAGTCGGTGAAATTTACGGCCGCGTGTTACTTCCTACAAGTAATTGTTTGGATCCCTTTCGTTGTTAGCGCGCGGTCGATCCGTAAGTTCACCCTTCGTGGTAATCGATACCCTATCCGATAAAAGGGACAATCAGCAGAGAGGTTTTATATCGCGGGGTAATTTAGCTGCCGTGCGCAAAAGGAAGTAATTTGCACATAAATAAAAACATGTCAGATGTTACAAGCAGCTAATTTATTATTTAAGGTGGTTATACCCCAACTAAGTGAGTCGACGACAGACTCAAACATAATCTCCAAATTTAAATCGACATATATTGTTATGTAAAATCTAAGAATAAAAAAGCAATGTATTTTATACGCTTACAATATTAAATCACACACACATAATGAAATAAGTTAATTTAATAAAAGAATGACAATCTATGTAGTACATAAGAGAAATTAGATTAAATCGTGGCAACGTCGCATTTTTACTTAAATCGAGCTCAAATTTTACAAGCATATATGTAATAATATCTAAATACTCGAAACGAAAGTTTCAAGACATTTTTGAATAATGTGTTTTAGAGTATCACTTTTTAAAATTTTTTTAGAACAATTTTCATTTAAAATTACACATTGAAAATACCGATATTTATCAAGAAAATTTAAAACATATTTCGATAAAATTTAATTCAAATATAAAATAAGAATATAAAATTAAATACGAGAAAAATGAAAAATGTATTATTAAATAAAGATATTATCTCATATGATGTTGAAAATTTTGCAATGAATATATTTGGAAATAATCTCTTTCTTTATACAAAATTTAAATATGAAATGTGATTGCACAATTATTCTATGTCTAAAATATGATATCAAAATTAAATATAGTATGTAGACTATTTCAATTATTAAAAGAATCACCGATGAAAATTAAATCACGAAAAGATGATACAAAAGTTTTACCGAGTAGAAATTAAATATACATTTAAATATAAAAATGAAGAAAAGTATTAAGTTAAACACTATTTTGGCAATAAAATTTACTAAAATAAGCTGAATTTAATTAAATTATATTGTTAGTAACAATTTAAAATTCAATAAATACTTGTTGCAATTATTATCTTTAAATTTGTGGATTTTTATTATCTTTAAGTTTCCAAATTTTTATTTATATAAAAAATTTTAATAAAAAATTAAGTTTGTAATATCTGATGCATCATTTATTTTTAAATGTAATTTTAATATAAGACTTATTCTCTCTCTCAAAAGTCGAGCAAATACAGACGAGAACAAGATTTAATATTGAGATGTTTCTCTACTTCTTTGTAGAGATAAATTCACTTTTAGGTGAAGTATCTGCATATAATATATCTTCACGTTTTTAAAAATTCTTTTCATTATGCTTTCTGTGATTAATTTTTATCAATTTTCCCTTAGCAAAGGTATAAATCATAATGGCATCTTTTTCATAATCTTATGATGTAATACTGTTATATGCATATTTATATACAATAATTATATATATTTATGCGATTTATATTATAGATTAAGATAATTTTCTTCTGTGATATAATATAATTCATATTAATAATTATTATATCATATAATAATTATTAATAATTATTATATCACAGAATAAAATTATCTTAATCTATAATATAAATCGCATTTAAACTTAATCCTAATCCTTATTCGCGCTTTTAGCGCAAATCCAAATACTTTCTTCAATTACGTTATAAAATCCCATTTATAACAGTTTTTCGTAACTTTATATAATTTTAAGCTGCATATAATCTTCCTCAGATATAATCATTACATTAACTTTGAATAAATATACTTTAAGTATACATTAATTTAAAGTATTGTACATTGGACTCTCAAATATCAGTTAAAGAAATTTCGAAGTAAATACCAATTAAATAAGGTAGAAAAGAAATCTTATTATCAATTTATATCTTTACAACATTTTCAAGAAAATAAAAATCTTGTCAGTTTTATTAACAAGCTAAAATTGCCCTCGCATTGCTCAAAGAATTCACGGTTGAAATACCAGTCGGTGATTTTCAGGCACGCTGTGAAAAGGATTGCTCCTTTTTCTAGACCGCAAGAACGTCGTCGATTAGAGCTAAGGAAGAGACAGCAGCATGATGTCGAGATGGCTAGCGAATTTCAGATCCAGGTGAAATTTCGCAATTCGTTTTTCTAGAAAAAAAAAAAAAAAAAAAAAAAAGGG